AATATAAACTATAAATAAACATCAACTAAACATATTCTTTACGACATAAATAAATTTAACAGTCAGAAAAAAAAAAAATTCTCCAAAAGAATGAAACATCATATCATACATGAAAAACGAGGGTTGACGGGCGCGTTCCCTCACTTGTGAGTCTTTCATATGAAACCCAAGCACAACTAGGCTGGGTGATGGGTACTTCATTGCACAATCCCACGTAGGCCTAAGCCCTACTGGGCGAGTGAACCAAGCTCTGATACAATAAAAAATGGGGATTGACGAGTGCAGTCCCACAAACGTAAAGCGCACCAAAACAGGGTGAGCATAGATGGACCTTAGTGAGGTTTCATCCTAAAACCAATTGGTGGTATGAGGAGTAACCCACTAGATTTATAAGTTTGACCTATTTTCCTTGTATAGACGATGTGGGACAACTCACAAGTTTATATTCTAACCATAAGAATATAAATCTGACTAGAAAAAACAATAAATAAACCACAAAGAAAACCATACATACATTTTAGTGAAAAAACTATCCATGATACAAAACAAAAAAATAAAATAAAATAAAAAATAAAAAATCAACTAGTGTTTCGATGCCGATCAGAATACATTGCATTGAGATTTACCATTTACTCCATTTAATGTATATTCAATAGAGCTTAAATAGAAACAAAAAATTATCAATATAAGGTCTTCAAGATGCAACTTTTCTTCAAATAAGACTGTTTTATTCTTCATGCTGTCGCAATGCATGAAAAGTTTGATACACTTTACCATATAATCAAATTTCAAGAATTTTGTACTTTAATCATCATCATCATCATTAACTTGCATGGAAACGCATAAGGCCGAAAAGAACTTTTGCAATTTATTTATTTATTTATTTATTTATTTATTTTAACAGTAACTTGGAGAATTATGTGCCTAAATTATAGTTAAGCATCAATAATTCAAGATTCTGAGGGTCCACATTTGTTCGCTCTCATTTTTATCTCCAACTAATCACCTCATTAAGTTTTCCCTCCACAAGTTCTTTAAAATCAGGGAAAAACGAAAAATGCATCTTTCCCCTTGTGCAAATACGCAAACAACAATAACAACAACAACAACAACAACAACAAGTCGTTAAATCCCACTATGTGGGGTTGGCTATATGGGTCGCATGTTGCCATCGTGCTCGATTTAAACACATCCTCATCCAAATTTAAATAATGTAAATCTTTTTTTATATAAATAAAAAATAAACGAGATTATATAATAAAAATGTAAAATAACAGGTGGTGGCAAACCTTTCTGGTGGTGCTTGTGGTGTACTCAGCTTGGGCATCTCCATTCGAGCTGGCTTTTCGTAAAATGTCGACAAGTGCACTCATGCCCATCGACTTAGTGGTTGATGCCTTCTTTGCTGCAGACATCATCCTCACCTTTTTTGTCGCATATCTCGACAAATCAACTTATTTGCTGGTCGATGATCATAAGAAAATAGCCTTGAGGTAGGTAGTTTATCTACTTTTATTATGCACTTTCAATGGCTATGACTAAGTTACTCCAACAGTACTTTTAACTTCTTTCTTTCTTTTTTTTTTGGTTCGGTTATCGGTTTTTTTTTTTTCTTCAGGTACATTACACATCTATGGTTCCCAATGGATGTGGCCTCTACTTTGCCCTTCCAAACAATATACAGTATTTTGACTGGGAAAATGCACAGGGGTGATGTCTTTGGCTTTCTCAACTTGCTCAGGCTGTGGCGGCTTAGGCGTGTCAGTGAATTTTTCTCTAGGTAACATTCGTAAATTAAATTAGGCTTTGGCGGCATTCTCGACACTATCTTGGAAACTAATGAAGTGCTTAGCTTATAATGTTTTTTTCTCCAATCAATCTATAGTAGTTAACATATCAATCAATCAAGTGGAGAAAAGAATGAGTTAAGAGAATTAAGGAGCTAATTACGTACCTATTCACTTGGCACCAGGTTAGAGAAGGACACTCGCTTCAGCTACTTCTGGACAAGATGCTTCAAACTCATATGTGTATGCACTGCACAACATCATATAAATATATATATCAAGTGAATTATGTAAAGAAAAATAAAAATATGGAACGGAATTTGATAAATACAGGTGACCGTATTTGCGGTGCACACAGCGGGTTGCTTCTACTTCTGGTTGGCCACGCATTACCGGGTCTCAGACGACACATGGATAGGTGCAGGAATGCCCGATTTCAAGACACGCAGCGTATGGTTAGGTTACACCTACTCCATGTACTGGTCCATCGTCACCCTCACAACAACTGGTTATGGGGATTTGCATGCAGAGAACACGGGTGAGAAGCTCTTCTCCATCTTCTACATGCTCTTCAACATCGGCCTCACGGCATACTTGATTGGGAACATGACCAATCTCATAGTCCACACTTCTATTCGCACATTCGCCATGGTAACTATATAACACACTTTACCAACAAATATTATTACAATGTCTGCATAACATTTTATTATACTTATTTTATTGTGTTTAATTATTAAAGAGGGATGCCATCTACGAGATCCTACGTTATGCGAGCAAGAACATGCTTCCAGATGGCCTAAAGGACCAAATGCTAGCACACATAACGCTTAAATTCAAGACTGCCGAACTTCAGCAAGAAGAAGTGCTTCAGGACTTGCCTAAGGCTATAAGATCCAGCATTGCTCAGCATCTCTTTCGCTCCATTGTGGAAAATAGCTACCTTTTCAAAGGAGTCTCTGAAGACTTGATTGTTCAGTTGGTATTCTCATCTTTCCTTCACTTACTACTCTCACCATTTTTCCCCTCTCTAATATTTTTAACACTATACTATATGCAAGCTTCAACGAAAATCATCCCGAAAAAAAAAAAAATAAAAATAAACATTAATCGTTGCATCATCTCGGACACATCAGATGTCTGATTGTATATTCTTACACCAGTGTCTCTGCTTTTCATTTTACAGGTACCTGAGATGAGAGCTGAATATTATCCACCCAAAGTGGATATAGTGATACAAAATGAGATCCCAACAGATTTCTACATTATAGTATCTGGAGCAGTGGTAAATAAATTCACCTTATTAAATGATTATTCAGCATATTTCCATAGGCAATACCTTATATTTACTTTAAAACTGCAGGATGTGCTGACATACAAAAACGGAATGGAGCAGGCATGAAGTTCCCCATTTTCCCTACTTTCAGTTTTTACCAAGTTCGATTTTATCATATATCATCTAGTCACCCCTAGGCGCAAATGACCATTAATGACAGCTTTCAAAGATCAAATAGGAATTAGCTCCTTATTACTTAAAAATTCTAATGCTGGCCATGACTCACGAGTGTACAAACTCCAAACCACAAGAAAAGGAACAGAAACTTTATTCCTGGTTTTGTGATGTAGATAATGCTGACTGGGTACTCCTTTTTCAGTTCGTGACAAAATTAGAGTCTCCAGCTATGTTTGGGGAAATTGGGGTGATCTTAAATATACCCCAGCCTTTCACGGTGAGAACAAAGCGGCTTTCTCAGGTCATCCGGATAAGTCACAATCATTTTAAGCAATTAGTGGAGCCACTTCGTGAAGATGGGAAGATAATCGTCTCAAACTTTCTTCAGGTTTAGAATCTCGAATATCTACAGTTCCTAGGAAATTAACATCACAACTCACTTAAGGATAACCTTATATATCTCTGAATTCCAGCATTTGAAAGGCTTAAAGGATGACGAGGTAAAGGAGATGCCATTTGTCACAGATTTGCTACATGAAACAAATGTTGAGGTAACCTCTGTTATTGCACTGCCAGAAGTCCAATTAGCTTGCATCTTTATCAACCACAAACATGAAAAATTAAGATTCCAATTTAACAACCAGCAACAGTAACAACTTTGTCTTCGTGGAATGAAAGAGACTAATCATTCCATGAACACTAAAGATGGTTAAAAATTGACTCTTTTTGCAGGCTATGGCATCAACAGAGGACCTTCAAAATCGTGAGGGACCAAGCCAAGAAGCAAACAGTAAGCCATCATCATGCATGAATTGTTGTAAACTTAATTATGCACAAAAGTAAGGGACTTTCCAATCCTATATATAATAATGTGAAAATTTACATGCAAAATGTTAACGAAATATTATCGGCCATACATTCACGTTCACAGAAATAAAAACTCTACATGCAATTCACTTACAAATCATCTCGAGCCAGACCACCCAGGGACACATCTTCACGCGCTCGTAAATAACTCAAGGGAACGAGGAAGTTAAATAGTTTACTACCAAAATTTAATTTAATCTGCATGAACCCTGAAATTTTTCAGGAAGCGCAAGAGTTCATACACCAGCCAAGCTACCTATAAGGGTGGTACTCCACGGGTATCATCCAGATACGAAACCAAACAAAGAAGACGGGGGACGACTTGCCCATCTTCCAGACTCAATAGAAGATTTACTGACATTAGCAGGTGAGCAATTTTTGTGATAATAATGGAAGATCTTAAGAAGTCAAACCCCGCTCGCAAGCACAGGAAACTGCAACTCAGAAAATACAACTCCAAAATTGTCTTTATATTCCTACTTCCAGTCCCATCATACTTTCAATTAATTCATTTATTTAAAGATACACCAAGTCATAACTGAATTAAGAAAAAGAAAACTAGAAAAGTTCTCTGTGATTCTCATTTGGGCAACATACATTCATTGAACACAGAGAAAAAGCTCGGGCAAAAAGGATCCAAAATTCTGATGGCTGATGGTTCTGAAGTGGAAGACATAAATGCTCTGAGAGAAAACGATCATTTGTACATTTTTTAGGCAAGGAACTCCAGAATGTACAATAACTCTTAAAATTTTGTTGATTTAAAGGTATGAAAGCATAAGCCAATGTAATCACAGGTACGTGTTAATGCTATGTGCTACTTTCTGAATTGTAACATACACAGCAGAAGCGGAATATGCTATTATAGTATTATAGAAATGTGTATACATAGTTCAGTTTACCGTGAAATGAAAATGCACACCTTAAAGTCTCGATTGATATCCCGGCCATGAAGCATGTCAAGAATCGCTAAAGCAGCTTTCTGAAAATTGTCTCTCTTCTTCTAAGACAACATTCCTCTGAAGAACAGAATCCTTGGATTCCTTTATCTCTTCCGTTATGCCAGGAGACAGTCAATCAATTTCACTTTCACTGACATTCAACAAAAATTAAGTGATTTAGAATGCAATGAGGAAATTATGAAGTTATATACTTTCTCACAGCAGTAATTGCATCTAAACTGAGGATTGCTCAAAATACAGAATATACAAAAAATGAAAGCAATAAAGGCATCCATGGCTTCAAAAATGCTTGGTCAGCTAAGAGCTCACTATATCATTTTAAGCATGTTGTCCATCACAAGTTTGTGCAGTTTGAGAGATCACTCAACAAACTAATGGGAGATGTTACAGTCCCGTTACAGAACCATTCTGTCGGAGTTTTTAATCGTTAGATCATCATGTAACCGTCGGGGTAGTTGATCTAACAGTTACAAACCCCGACGGAATGGAGACCGTAGCATTTTCCCAAACTAATTAATATAATTGAGCAGGCAAAGTGCATGATCAAACTAATGAAGCTGATCTAATTTCTTTATGAAGGGGCAACACATAGATATCAACATATCAAGAATTCTGCATATGATCTATTTCACACACTCGAAAAAAACAAGAGACTAAACAGGAATTTGATGTCGGTATCAGAATACGAAATTAATTTATGAGAAACTGAGGCGATGTCGACAAAATTCATAATAATAGCCACCGCCTACAAACACAGGGTTTCGCAATGACCTGTGTGTGTGTGAGCCGTGCGGAGGATAAGCAGTCAGAAGACTTAGTTACAGTAAATCAGAGACGTT